CCCCCCCTGCTTTTAACATTTCTGTCATGATCCCGTCAGTTCCAGCTGCTTTTCCCCCTTTCATTCTACGTAATGCCTCATGCAAAAAAAAAAAATAAAAAATTGAATTTGTAGTATCAGCATACCTTTGACAAGACAGTGATGGAGTGAGTGATGGTGAAAGTGTTTCTTTTTTTAGAAGTTATCCTGACTTGGTGGGAAATGGCCAGTGTGTTGAAAAAAAAAAAAGTCATTTACTTCTTAAACCTTTCTGCCAGATAATTTTTTTTTCAGCACGTCGGCCGTCTCCCACCGAGGCCGGGTGATCCAAAAAAAGAAACACTTTCATCATCATTGGCACATAATCACTTGTTTTTACAGAGATCCCCAGACACGACAGTTTAGGTGTCACTCCAAACATCCAATATCCCAGATCATTTATTTTTATTATTTTTTTTTTATTATCACACTGGCCGATTCCCACCAAGGCAGGGTGGCCCGAAAAAGAAAAACTTTCACCATCATTCACTCCATCACTGTCTTGCCAGAAGGGTGCTTTACACTACAGTTTTTAAACTGCAACATTAACACCCCCCCTTAAGAGTGAAGGCACTGAAACCCCCCATCTCCGGGAACTCAAGTCCGGCCGTGGTTTCCCTAAACCCCTTCAAAAATGTTATTTTGCTCACACCCAACAGCACGTCAAAGATTAAAAACCATTTGTCTCCATTCACTCCTATCAAACACGCTCACGCATGCCTGCTGGAAGTCCAAGCCCCTCGCACACAAAACCTCCTTTACCCCCTCCCTCCAACCCTTCCTAGGCTGACCCCTACCCCGCCTTCCTTCCACTACAGACTGATACACTCTTTGAAGTCATTCTGTTTTCGCTCCATTCTCTCTACATGTCCGAACCACCTCAACAACCCTTTCCAGCCCTCTGGACAACAGTTTTGGTAATCCCGCACCTCCTCCTACTTCCAAACTACGAATTCTCTGCATTATATTCACACCACACATTGCCCTCAGACATGACATCTCCACTGCCTCCAGCCTCTCTCGCTGCAACATTCATCACCCACGCTTCACACCCATATAAGAGCGTTGGTAAAAACTATACTCTCATACATTCCCTCTTGCCTCCAAGGACAAAGTTCTTTGTCTCCACAGACTCCTAAGTGCACCACTCACTCTTTTTCCCTCATCAATTCTATGATTCACCTCATCTTCATAGACCCATCGCTGACAGTCCACTCCAAATATCTGAATACGTTCACCTCCTCCATACTCTCTCCCTCCAATCTGATATTCAATCTTTCATCACCTAATCTTTTTGTTATCCTCTAACCTTACTCTTTCCTGTATTCACCTTTAATTTTCTTCTTTTGCACACCCTACCAAATTCATCCACCAATCTCTGCAGCTTCTCTTCAGAATCTCCCAAGAGCACAGTGTCATCAGCAAAGAGCAGCTGTGACAACTCCCACTTGTGTGTGATTCTTTATCTTTTAACTCCACGCCTCTTGCCAAGACCCTCGCATTTACTTCTCTTACAACCCCATCTATAAAATATATTAAACAACCACGGTGACATCACACATCCTTGTCTAAGCCTACTTTTACTGGGAAAAAAATTTCCCTCTTTCCTACATACTCTAACTTAGCCTCACTATCCTCGTAAAAACTCTTCACTGCTTTCAGTAACCTACCTCCTACACCATACACTTGCAACATCTGCCACATGCCCCCCTATCCACCCTGTCAATATGCCTTTTCCAAATCCATAAATGCCACAAAGACCTCTTTAGCCTTATCTAATACTGTTCACTTATATGTTTCACTGTAAACACCTGGTCCACACACCCCCTGCCTTTCCTAAAGCCTCCTTGTTCATCTGCTATCCTATTCTCCGTCTTACTCTTAATTCTTTCAATTATAACTCTACCATACACTTTACCAGGTACACTCAACAGACTTATCCCCCTATAATTTTTGCACTCTCTTTTATCCCCTTTGCCTTTATACAAAGGAACTATGCATGCTCTCTGCCAATCCCTAGGTACCTTACCCTCTTCCATACATTTATTAAATAATTGCACCAACCACTCCAAAACTATATCCCCACTACACATAGTGTGGCACCGCACTAGTGATATTACTTAATGAGGGTCTTCTATCTCTCGTCATTGTTTATATGTTATTCTCAAGTAGCAAAGCTGTCATCCACTGTATTAGTTTTCCCTCTTGTGTTTTGCAACTTTTAGTTAATTATTTTGAGAACTGGATCAAATGTCTACTAAAGTTAGGCTTATGCTTGCCTGAAATGCTCTGCATAACCATGGGCTTTTTTTCAGAGTTCAAAACTCCCGAGTAATGAAAAAATGTTCAGAAATGTACTATATAATGCACTGGTTCCGAACTGCATACCAAATTAAGATACCACGATGGTTATAGAATCATTGAAGAATCAAATGGAGAGACAGATTGTATTTATCTAGACTTTAGTTAAGTCAAAGTGTATTTACACATGATACAATGTCACTCATTTCTGTGTAAACTTTGTGTCATGTGTAAATACACTTTGACTTGACTAAAGTCTAGATAAATACAATCTGTCTCCCCATTTGATTCTTCAATGATTTTATAGCCATTGTGGTATCTTAATTTGGTATGTACATTCCTGAACATTTTTTCATTACTCGGGAGGTGTGAACTCTGAATAGATCTTCACTTACTGCACAAAGGGCATATTTAGGTGGTGTGGCACAGTTATCCTCACATGGTACAGTGTCCCTATTGTATGGTAAACTTCAGTGTTATAATCAGAGATGCATTCCTGATCAGTAATATTCCTTACCTAGATTCAGTTATTTTTAACACTGAACTGGAAAGCAGTGTTCTATCTAGGTGAGTCTTTTTCCTTTCCTGTTCCTCACTCTTTCTTACCATTCTCCCTCTCTTATTTCCTCCCTCCCAGTCTCCTCCTCTTCCACTCTCCTATCAAATCCTGACACAATATGAAATGAGCAAAAGCAACAGGACTGCCTCCCTCTTTCCTATTCCATTTCCCTCTGCCTTTCCCTTAATTCCTTTCAACCCTTCTCCCTCACTCCCTCTCATTGTATGTAACCCATCACTGTATATGCTTTTCATCTCAATATTATGGTGAGGGTCTTAAGTGCTTGGGAATATGATATGGGAAAGCAGTAGTGAGGGTTGTTGTGGGCAGGCAGAAAGTGTTGGAAGGAGGGTGTGGTGTGAGGGAACCTGGGTGTGGTGTGAGGGAGTCAGGGTGTGGTGTGAGGGAGCCAGGGTGTGATGTGAGGGAGCCAGGGTATGGTGAGGGAGCCAGGGTGTGGTGTGAGGGAGGCCAGGGTGGGGTTGTGAGGGAGTCAGGTGTGGGGGTGAGGGAGCCAGGGTGTGAGTGAGGGAGCCAGGGTAGGGTGAGGGAGCCAGGGTGTGTGGTTGTGAGGGAGCCGGGGTGTGGTGTGAGGGAGCCAGGGTGTGGTGTGAGGGAGCCAGGGTGTGGTGTGAGGGGCCAGGGTGTGGTGTGAGGGAGCCAGGGTGTGGTGTGAGGGAGCCAGGGTGTGGTGTGAGTGAGCCAGGGTGTGGTGTGAGTGAGCCAGGGTGTGGTGTGAGTGAGCCAGGGTGTGGTGTGAGGGGCCAGGGTGTGGTGGGGAGTGAGCCGGGGGTGGGGTGTGAGTGAGCCAGGGTGTGGTGTGAGTGAGCCAGGGTGGGGTGTGAGGGAGCCAGGTGTGGTGGGAGGGGGCCAGGGTGTGGTTTTGAGGGAGTCAGGGGGGTGGTGTGAGGGGGCCAGGGTGTGGTGTGAGGGAGTCAGGGTGTGATACAAGAGAGCCAGGGTCTGGTGTGAGTGAGCCAGGGTATGGTGAGGGAGCCAGGGTGTGGTGTGAGGGAGCCAGGGTGTGGTGTGAGTGAGCCAGGGTATGGTGAGGGAGCTAGGGTGTGGTGTGAGGGGGCCAGGGTGTGGTGTGAGGGAGTCAGGGTGTGATGCAAGAGAGCCAGGGTCTGGTGTGAGTGAGTCAAGCATTCACACCTCAGTTAACACACACTGGATGACACAGCTGAGTTGTCACCCAAGAGATTCCTGTAATTATTAGTTGTACAGTTCTTGACCTGTCTATACCTATATAACCTGAGCCTTCCACATGCTTGAAGTGATGATACACAAAATTTGAATGCATTTTGTAGTAAAATAACATTAAATCAATTTTGACCATTTCTGGCTGAAAATTTACGTTGTATATGCAGCTCAACATTTATGAAAAATTAATTTGTCCCAAAGTGTCCCAGTCATAAGTGCTGATCATATTAAATCGGATCATCATAAGTCAGGGCCCTACTGTATAGGAATTTTGTGATTGAAAATTTAACCATTTTCTAGTTTGTATTTCTTTGCTCTTTAAGTGTTTTATCCACTTTATTATTATTTCCAATAGTTTTACATTGCTTGTCAACAAGGTAGGCCAGTAGTTCAGGGGATCCTCCTTGCCACCTTAAACACTTGCACTATGTATGTGCCACCTTCCAGTTGTCTGCCAATTTACCCTTGTCAAATCCCAAAGGTTTTCTCAGTAGAGGATAACTTGGTCTGTCTACACATTCACATAGGGCCCATAGCGTTATCTCATATGGTCGTATTGTCGCCACCTTGTCAACATCTAGCATCTGATTTTTTCTTCAGGTTTTCTTCTGTCATTTCCTTTTTTTTTATTATATAGTTCCTCTTTGCAGTTGTTCTTATTAATAAAAATATTTGTTTATTTTTTCACTGTACCGGCTGTTTCCCACTGCGGCAAGGAGACCTGAAGATGAAGAAAACTACAGTTTTCTTCTTTTGACATTTAGTAATGTATACAGGAAAAGGAAAGGGGTTACTAGACCCTTGCTCCCAGAATATTAGTCGCCTCTTACAACATGCATGGGTATTTTATACTGTGTAATTTTATATATTAATGGGGTATGTTGTAATTTAACAGTTTATTTTTGTCTTACTTTTGCAGGTAGTTCACAGGGACCTAAAGCCCTCAAATATTATGTATGCAGACATCTCGGGAAGTCCAGAGTCATTGAGGATATGCGACTTTGGATTTGCCAAACAGCTTCGTGCAGAGAACGGGCTTCTCATGACTCCATGCTATACTGCCAACTTTGTTGCACCAGAAGTGCTAAAGAAGCAAGGCTATGATGCAGCCTGTGATATCTGGAGTTTAGGGGTGCTCCTCTACACCATGTTAGCAGGGTGAGTACTTCTTTATTAATGCTGTTATTTGTGAAAGCAATGTTGTTATAATTACGAACTGTCTTTCGGCACCCTCTTGAGTGTCAATAAATTATTTACATTCTGTGAATGTGGCATTGTCGTAGTATGAACTTGACATGATGATATCATGCAAGTGAGAATAATATCAATTTATTGTGGGCCTTGATAATGCTTTCAAACATTGAAAATTCTGAGAGTGATATGGGTTACCTAGCCATTTCAACTTTCTGAGCAGACAGCAGATGAGCCTGGCCTATGGTTAGGCTCTGGGAGTAGAAAAAACACTCGAAACTCATCAGAGGTATACCCACGAAGAAGAAAAAGGCAACGGAACGTCGTCATAAGCTTCTCTCTCTATGCTGTGTGCACTCGCAGTATAAAATCAGTGGAGCTTCTGAAATGTAATGGCGTCTCCCGCCAAGGTAGGGTGACTCAGGAAAAAGGAAATACATTCACATATTTTGTTCAACTACTATCTTGCCAGAAGTGTGCTGTATCGTAGTTGATATATATTTCAGTGGAATTAATTGTTGATGATCTGATTGACTTGGTCCTTCTGCCATGGGGTGGTATGCATGTTCTGCATCAATCCACAGATGCCTGTATTTAGGAGAATCAAAAAAATAGTTTTGGTACCTTGTGATTGTAGTGGTTTTTTTTGATCTGTTCTGCTATGTTTTTATCTTGATGATAATTTCTTGAAAGTTGTGCTTAGATCCTCAATACCTTCCATTAACAAGAAGAAGGCACAATTCCGTGAGTGAAACAATACACACATAACCTGCACGTAGGACTGAAATGTAGTTGTAACATGTCTTTCTCTCTCCTATGTGTGGGTTATTTGTGTACCTTCCATTACCTGGGTGCTGTGTGATCCTTATTGGTTTATTGCTCTCCCAGGATAACACATACAGCTTCTAATACAGTGGACCCCCGGTTAACGATATTTTTTCACTCCAGAAGTATGTTCAGGTGCCAGTACTGACCGAATTTGTTCCCATAAGGAATATTGTGAAGTAGATTAGTCCATTTCAGACCCCCAAACATACACGTACAAACGCACTTACATAAATACACTTACATAATTGGTCGCATTCGGAGGTAATCGTTATGCGGGGGTCCACTGTATATAGTTTTGAGACTCTCTGACCGCGGGTTCAATCCCGGCCGAGGTATGGTTTATATTATTGTTGTTTATCATGCTGTGTTAATGATTCTCTCAGTGATTGGTAAACCACATTCAATTGTATCTCTGAAAATTAAACAGCAAGTCAATGTGTAGGTTGCTTTGATAGAATTTTAATGTATAACACAGTGTTCTGGATGACTGGTTAATTATATGTTCCCAGTATGATAGTGTTTTGTTTATTTGATATTGCCAGCAACTCCTTGTTAGCTAATTTTTCCATAAATGTTGTTGAGTTTCCACAATGCATAATTAATTTGCAGCTGTATTTGTGATTATGGTAAAATCAGAACATTGTTTCAGCTGGAACTACCAGTGCATATTTAATTTTTCAGATAGGATTTCAATTAAATTATGATATACATATTGTATAGTGTTTATAGACAAATTTTGCAATCAGAAATTATATTGCATCCATGATTGAAGCTTAATGACGTTTACTACTGTTACTTCTTGCACAAGCACATTACTCTCCTACTTGTGTATGTTCCACCAGCCAGTGGCTTCTTCACTCCAGTTCAGAGAAATCGTATAAGGTGAGGAGTGCGAGATAATCAGTCCCTCAAACTGGAATTGGCCTTTATTCTTTTGTGACTCTGGAATCAGACCTGTTTTTTACTTCATATTTCTTTGCATACCCTTGTAGGTGCCATGAGGCTGGTGAATCATGGCACCAACAATTTTGAATTGCAATACAGTTTTTGGTTGCAAGATTTGATTCAAGAATCGGGATCGGCTTTTCCTTCCGGGTATAGCATCACATTTCCTGGGTGCTGTATGGTACTCACGAGTGCTTTTCCATGAAGATAATAATTCTGTTGTAGCCATTTTGGTATATGTGGTCACTGAGTGCTGTTAGTAATAAGCGTTAGTGGGTTCTGGGTGCAAGGTGAGTCTTGTCTGGAGAGCTTGTGTAGTTGTTTACTGTGTGATTGGTGCTCTGCAACCCCCACTCATTACTAAATATATATCTAAACACACAGGCAACCCCCACACAGGCAACCTCCACACAGGCAACCCCCACACAGGCAACCTCCACACAGGCAACCCCCACACAGGCAACCTCCACACAGGCAACCCCCACACAGGCAACCCCCACACAGGCAACCCCCACACAGGCAACCCCCACACAGGCACACCACAGCCAAACAGGCACACACACACACACACACACACACACACACACACACACACACACACAACCACACACACTGTCTAATTGCCAGGAGTGCTGCTTACTCTTTCTCAGTCCTCTCTCCTCCTCTCTCTCTCTCTCTCTCATACACATTCTTACCCCTCCCCAATATTTCTCTTTACCATTCCATGTCTCTCTGCAATCCTAACCTCCTCTTGTCTTTCTCCGCCATCCTTCCCTCCCCCTCTTCCCTCCTTTATATCCGTCTGACAACTTCCTTTCCCTATGTTATTCTCCCTCTCCTTCATTCTTCTTTACCTCCTCCCTCATCCTGCCTTTCCTTTCCCATCCACTTCTCCTTCCTCCATCCTTTGTCCCTTTGTTCTTTCTCCCTCTGCAACAGCTGTTAAAACAACCACCCTTTGCTGGGGTTGCATTGATTATTGCTGGTTTTGTGCGATTGGTTATATTGTGGTGGTCGTGGTAATATTGCTGCTTTGACTCTGTTGTGTATTGTAGTGATGCTGGTGCTCTTGTAGTGATGCTGGTGCTCGTGTAGTGATGCTGGTGCTCTTGTAGTGATGCTGGTGCTCGTGTAGTGATGCTGGTGCTCTTGTGATGCTGGTGCTCTTGTGATGCTGGTGCTCTTGTAGTGATGCTGGTGCTCTTGTAGTGATGCTGGTGCTCTTGTAGTGATGCTGGTGCTCTTGAGATGCTGTGCTCCTAGTGATGCTGTGTGCTCTTGTGATGCTGGTGCTCGTGAAGTGATGCTGGTGCTCTTGTAGTGAATGAGTGCTCTGATGCTGGTGCACTTGTAGTGAAGCTGTGCCTCTTTTAGTGATGCTGGTGCTCTGTAGTGATGCGGAGCTCTTGTAGTGATGCCCCCCTGGGTGGCTCTTGTGATGCTGGTGCTCTTGTAGTGATGCCAGGTGCTCTTGTAGTGAACATGCTGGAGCTCGTGAGTGATCTGGTGCTCTTGTAGTGATGCATGGTGCTCTGTAGTGATGCTTGGGCTCTTGTAGTGATGGTGGCTCTTGTGATGCTGGTGCTCTTGTAGTAAGCTTTGCTCTTTTAAGTGATGCTGGTGCTCTAGTAGTGACTGGTGCAATCCCTCTTGTAGTTATGCCTTTGTTCTACCGTTGTGATGCTGGTAGCTCTTTGTGAAGCAGGTGCTCGTGTAGTGATGCTGGTTCCTTGTATGATGTGCACTTGTGATGCTGGTGCTCTTGTCGTGATGCTGTGCTCTTGAAGTGAGCAGGGTGCTCTTGTATGATGGCGGTTCTTCGAGTAGTGATGTCTTGGATGCTCATTGTATTGATGCTGGGTGTCTCTTAGAATGCTGGTGCTCGTGTAGTGATGCTGGTTCTCTTGTAGAGATGCTGGTGCTCGTGAGTGATGCTGGTGCTCGTGTAGTGATGCTGGTGCTCTTGATGATCTGGTGCTCGTGTATTGATGCCTGTGCTCTTGTATGATGCTGGTGCTCGTGTAGTGAATGCTGGTGCCTTGTAGTGATGGTTCTCTTGTGATGCGCTGGTGCCTTGTAGGATGCTGGTGCTCTTGTCGTGATGCCGGTGCTCTTGTAGTGATGCTTGGTGATCTTGTAGTGATGCTGGTGCTCGTGTAGTGGAAGCTGTTCACTTGTATGTGATGCTGTTGCTCTTGTATTGATGCTGGTGCCCTTGTGATTCTGGTGCCCTTGGTAGTGAGCTGTGTGCTCTTGTAGTGATGCTGGTGCTCCTTTTAGTGATGCTGGGTGCACGTGTAGTGATGCTGAGTGCTCTAGTAGTGATGCTGGGTGACTCTTGTAGATATGCTGTGCACTTGTAGTGATGCTGGTGCTCTTGTAGTGATTGACTGGATGCACCTTGTATTGATGCTGTGCTCAGTGTAGTGAAGCTGGTGCTCTTGTAGTGATGCTGGTGCTCGTGTATTGATGCTGGTGCTCTTGTAGTTATGCATGTTCTCGTGTAGTGATGCAGTTGCTCTTGTTTGATGGTGGCTCTTAATGGCTGGTGCTCTTGTAGTGATGCTGGTGCTCTTGTAGTGATGCTGGTGCTCTTGTAGTGATGCTGGTGCTCTTGTAGTGATGCTGGTGCTCGTGTAGTGATGCTGGTGCTCTTGTAGTGATGCTGGTGCTCTTGTAGTGATGCTGGTGCTCTTGTAGTGATGCTGGTGCTCTTGTAGTGATGCTGGTGCTCTTGTAGTGATGCTGGTGCTCTTGTAGTGATGCTGGTGCTCTTGTAGTGATGCTGGTTTCTCTTGTAGTGATGCAGGTGCCTTGTATTGTGCTGTTCTCCTTGTATGATGCTGGTGCTCGTTGTATGATGCTGGGCTCTTGTATTGATGCTGGTTCTCTCTTTGTAGTGAAGCTGGTGCTCGTGAAGTGAATGCTGGTGCTCTTTAGTGATGCTGGTGCTCTTTGTAGTGATGCTGTGCTCGAGTCGTGGATGCAGTGCTCGTGTAGTGATGCTGGTGCATCTTGTAGTGAAGCTGTTGCTCGTGTAGTGATCAGGTGCTCTGTAGTGATGCTTGGTGCTCACCGTGTAGTGATAGCAGTGCTCTTGTGATGCTGGTGCTCTTGTGATGCTGGTGCTCTTTGTAGTGATGCTGGTGCTCGTGTATGATGCTGGTGCTCTTGTGATGCTGGAGCTCTGTGATCTGGATATTTGTAGTGATG